GTGATTTTAATTGAATATATTGTTTTTTCAGGTTAATGCTGTGTTCTGTTCTTGGCGTGCACGCGAGTGGTGCAGGTGGGGTTCTAAAAATAGCATGCTGTGTGGGGATGGTGATGATAGGCCATGATGATGGCTCTTTTGGACTTCATTATTCCCGTAATTCAGCACTGCACTTACATGTTCTTCATCACCATCATAACCTTCCTTGGCTCCATCTTCCCACCCTTGTTCCCCCCTTTTCTCAATTCACATGATTTTCTTTTGTTTCTGTTTTTCCTTTCTCTCTTTCATCAGGCTTTGGGTTGTGATGGAGATAATTTCCATATAAAAATTGCTGAATTTGGGTTCTTTGAGTGGTTTTGACTGGGAAAATGAAATCTTTCATGTGAAGAACATTAATTTTTTTAGGACAAAAACATCAAGCAAAAGACAAGTTTGAGATGCTGTAATAACTACAAATGTTCATGGAGCCTGTATCTCTGCTCTGCACTTATGCGTGGATGGGATTCATGGGATAATTAATAAGGTGAATGGTAAAATTGGATTTTCCAACAAAGCAAACAGAGAAGAATTCAATAAGTTCAAAAGACAAAAAAGCAGAGGGAATTTGATATATGCACTTTCCTACATATGGTAGTAGTAGTAGTTAGCCTTAAAGGCTGAGTAGCTGTGAAGGTGTAGGAGCAATTATGGTAGTTAATGAGATGAAGAAAAACAGAGGCAGAAGTAGTTGGCACTTAGTGGAGCTAAAAATTGAAGAAACTACTTCAATAAAATGGCTATCGATGAGAGAGTGATAATACGATAGAAATGCCTACAAGCTTTAAACCAGTCAAGCCTCTTTTTTCTTTAATAAAAAGAAGAGATTTATTTGTATAAAAATTTTATATATTATATTTATATAAAATTTTAATAATTTATTTTTAATAATTAAAATTTAAAATAATTAAATATAAATAAATCTCAATAATTAAAAAAAAAATAGTGTAAGGGCAGGTCTCCCAACCTCGAA